GTGAGAATTAGATTTGATTTTAAATATAAGTCTTCAGTTTATTTGTCTCTAAAATTTATAATTTTTTCTACCAACAGGTACTTCCAATTCACATTATTAAATAGAGTGGTTTAGAAAAGTTATCATACATTTATTACAAATAATTAATTTAACTAATTTTTTAATATTCGTAAATTAGTTATCTAACTCTTATTTTAAAGTAAGAGGTAATAGTATAAAACAAAGATATTTAAGTTGTGAATATATAAAATAAGTCTTTATTTTATATTGATATTATTTTTTTATTATCGTTAAGCCAATGAGAGAAACCCATGCACCTATTATGTCTATAGAGAGTCAAACTCATAGCAGCATGCTTAAGAAAGTTTTAAGAAAAATATTTAGTGTGATTGAGATAAAAGGCCAAGACAGAGACGTCAATATTCTTTCACCATCTATAATTATCATTCTCCCAACATTATATTGTGCGCTATCTTAAGAGCTCTCACATGCTCAATAGAGGCATAACAACCAACCTGATCTCCTTATTAATTGATGGGTTTCATAATCATTCAATTCAATGTCTCTGTGAATAAGAAATGACCATGCAATTATCTTCTGGTTTTTTGGGTTAGGTTAAGTGGTATTGACTTATTAGGTCCAATACATCATAAATCTATATCTTCATACATGTATGTCAGTGTGTTCGCCATCATTTACAGGTCATGAATTCATGATGAATACAAATTACTACATCTAGTTTTTAATATAAGAGCTCATTTGACTTTTGTTTTAATTTTAAATATACTATCCCAATCCATTTTTCTCTCATATTTATCCATTATTTCTCAAGGTTGTGCTTGTAATAATGTTAGTTCTAACCAATATATGTACTTAATTAGCAGGATATTTTAGGAAAGACAACACTTATTTATTATAAATAATTAACTTAAGTAGTTTTTTTAATTTTCTCAAATTAGTCAACTAACTCTTATATTAAGAACCAGAGGTAGTATATCAGATTTCTGCAAAGCATCAACCTTAGTTCTTCTGATCATATTAAATTAATCAATATCTTCAACTCAAAAAAAAATTAACAATATCATATTCTTTTAAAACTTTAATTGGAAATCATCTATGAATCTTTATAGTTTTACTTAATTTTTAATTAAATTCTTTTAGTTTTCTTTTCTTTTTATCGGTCACATGAAACTATACCAATCTTATTAAAAATCAGGTAAGGTTATAAAGATCTAATGAAAAAATGCAGGGACTTGATTAAAAATAATAAAACTATAAGGACTTGATAACAAAACCTACATATAACTATTCAAAAATCAAGTGAAACTATGCGAATTTGCAGATTAATTTTTCTCACTTTAATTTATCCAAAACTAAATTTCATCCGTATAAGCTCATTAAGACATTAAGTCGTGTACTCAAGTAAATAGGCATGTTTTACTATATATTTGCATGAAGTTTAAAATAAGTTTTATTATATTTATAACTTATGAATAGTTTATCTTACTATAAATTTTATAATATATATTGAAATTGATTATTTCAGTTAAGGTGATTGTTATTGCAAATCTCATGAATGAGCATGATTAAATATAACTTCATATCAGAGAGTTAAGTGTGCGGGTATGCAAGCAAATATTTGAATTATTTAAATACTATTATTAATATTTAACTACCAATAAGAAGAGAGTTAGTCCAGTTGGTAAGAAGTCAACTCATAACCTATAAGGTTGTGAGTTTGAATCTCGCTACCAATGTAAAGACTTTGTTGGTAAGCAATCTGTAAACCTTTTTGAGTTTGGAGGTATATTCTGACCCTAGTAAGCCTTTAGACTCAACTCACCTAAATTTTTTATTAAAAAAAAAATTAATTTTAACTTTCATCTTTTTTTTCCCAAAAGAAATAGGAAAAGAGTCATGACTGTTAATTATAAGCCTATATATATATAGAGAGAGACATAACAAGGTAAGATTGATGAAGATGGGTCAACCCACCATAGTTCCACTGAGAGATCCACCTAACTCATCATCATCATCTTGCCCCTTCTATCTGTAGGACCATTTTTCTTGTTCAACTTATTTCAACCCTTGTATCAAGGTAATATTTCATTATTTATTTTTCTTGTGTTGAAAAACATATCCTTATGTTATTTTGTATATCCACCAATGCCACGATGAAAGTGCATCAAACTATAGCAATTTCTGCATTAAGGTCTGACCCAAATTCATCTGACCGGATTGATACTTCAAAAATATGAAGGGTTTACATATAGTTGTGAGTGTTTTTTTTTTAATTCTCATTTTTATGATTAGCTGATTGAGTTAGATCCGAATATTATCGGGACAATTGAAGGTAACTCTCCGAAAAGCATTTTTTGTACTCATGTGAAATCTAATTTGATGCCTCATGTTTAAGTGACCAAATACACTATAAAAAAAGACTTTCAGCAACAACTTTTAGCGGCAATAGAAAATGTTGCCGCTGAAAGTCTTACTCAAGGAAAAAAAAAACTGGACCGGACCGACTGGTTCAACCGGAAAACCGGTGAACCGGTGGCTGGTCTGGTCCGGGAGGCCAAAAAAACCGGCCTTCAATTGAACCGTTCTGAGAACGGTTCAACCGGATCAAATCGGGCAACCCGCCGGTTTGATGGGTTGCTCGGTTTTGAATATTTTATTTTTTTTAATAATCCAATCCATGGAAAACGATGTCATTGGCAATGGAAAATTAAAAAAAAAAAAAAGACAGTCCGGTCCAAATCAAATGAGCTTGGCCCCTGCTTCAGTTTGGAGAAAAATCTTTGCCTTTCACTTCTCGCCATCGCTACCCTCCCCCAAATAGAAAATCCCTAGCTGAATCAAGCTCATTGTGCCGGAGTTTTCTTCGCCATCGGAGGTCCCAGATCTTTGCGTCACGTCGTCGAGGTTGAACGTTGAAGCAGCTAGTGATCGTGGTTCAAGCGCAAATCTACATCGTAGCCGCAGGTGGTCGCGTCCCATCGTCGTTACTTCTTCACGGTGGTAGAATCATTGTTGGAGCTACAGGTAGTCGCTTCTGTGCTCTTGCCTCTTGTTGTCCTGTTAGTAATTTTTATTCAGTTAGGCTTAGATAGTTAAATCATAAACGTGCTCTACTCTTATGGTTTTTCCTTCACTGGTCATGTTTTGTGCGTTCTTCTTCTGTTTTTTTTTCCCATCTGAATTCTCAAGCTCAACACTAATAACCTGTAAAGTAGCTAGGCTTAGATAAAATGAGATTTATTTCCTTTTTCTAATGTAGAACAATATCGTGTATGATATAGATGTAAGATCCGGGAAAAAAAATATAAACAGTCATACTGATTGATTTCAATGATTTGTTTACTTGGAACATCATTTAAATGATGATATCTGGTCAGCACATGTGAGAGGATTCGTTAACTAAAAGTTTAGAGAGTTGGAGAAGCAACGTAAGAATATGATCATACTCATTTCACTTTCAGTATCAAATCTCTGTGACTCTATCCATTCAAATATGGTTGTCAATTTTATTCCAAAGATCAAATTTTCAAGTCCAGAATTTTGGCATGATGCTCGTAACCTGAAAATTTATGCAAATGGTGTTTGAATATTAGATCCAAGTACTTAAAGTGCATATTTCATATGAAATCTGAATTTGTCAATTTGATCTTTGATTTTTAATCAGTGATGTTATATTATCCGAGCTAATCCCATAGCAATGAACCCCCAAATGGCCAAATGTGATATTTGATGTTTGATTTTCTTGATTTGTTATTTAGTAACAGTGATGGATATTTCAAGTAATCCAAGTTCAAGAAGTGACAATGTGACTCCTAATACGAGATCTTCTACTCCTAATACTAAAACTTCCACTCCTACACCCACTTCTTCATTACGTACTAAAACTGATCCTGCATGGGCACATATTGCATACAAAAAAGAGGGGACACAGAATATATATACTTTTCTTTTTTGTGCTAATAGTTATAAAGGAGGTGGGATAAATAGGATGAAGCAACATCTTGCTGGTATCACTGGTCAAATAGCTTCTTGCAAGAAAGTTTCACATGATATACGTCATAGAATGTCAGAATCTTTGAAAGAATCTTCAAAGAAAAAAATTGTTGAAAACTTAGAAGAGGATGTTGAAGAAACCCATGTTGATTCACAAATTATCATGAGTACTTCGAAGAAGAGGAAAGCTACTGGGAGTATGGACAATTATTTTGCTCTTAGGACAACCCCTGATTCCCAACTAGGTATTAAAAGTGCATTAGCAACTAAAGAAGCAAAACATAATGTGAAAATGTTGATTGCTGAATGGGCTATTGTGAATTACATTCCATTTAAAGCATTTGATTGCCCTTTATTTCAAAAAGCTGTGGATGGAATTGCTTCAATTGGGCCTGGGTTTAAAGCCCCTAGTGCTTATGATTTCAAAACCAATTTATTGAGTGATTAGAAAAAAGAATGTCAGTTGCTGATTCATTGTCATCGAGCTAAATGAAAAAACAATGGCTGCACACTCATGGCTGATGGATGGACCGATGTTAGGCAACACACTTTGATAAATTTCTTAGTGTATTCTACACACGATATGGTATTTGTGAAATCTGTTGATGCATCATATCTAGTCAAAGATGCTAAAACTTTATTTACACTATTCTGTGAAGTCATTGAGTGGATTGGTCCTAAGAATATCGTTCATGTAGTAACTGACAATGCAGCCAACTATGTAGCATGTGGCAAACTGATTAAGGAAAAGTATAAAAGCATTTATTAGTCTCCTTGTACTGCTCATTGTTTGAATCTTGTATTGAAAGACTTTTCCAGCATGCCTCATGTGTCGGACTTTGCATCAAAGGCATCAAAGATAACCATCTTTGCATACAATCATATGATTTTCTTATCCTGGATGAGAAAAAGACCGAGCTGGAAAGAAATTGTGTGTCCTGGTGCCACAAGATTTGCTACTACATTTATTACATTGCACAGCATATATGCACAAAAATGATTTGCAAGCTTTGGTTGTTGATAAGCACTTTGTGGACCACAAATTATCCAAGACCAAAGCAGGAAAAAATTTTAGTGCAATCATATTAGATAATCGGTTTTGGAATGACTGTTATGAAGTTGTAAAGATTGTATCTCCTCTGATAAAATTATTGCGAATTGTGGATTCAGATGAAAAACCTTCATTGCCTTATGTTTATGAAGGCATACAAAGAGCAAAATTGGCAATTAAGGAGATGTTTAAGAAGAATAAGGAGATGTATAAGCCTTATACAAGAATTATCCAAGCTCGATGGGACAGGCATTTGAAAACCAATCTTCATGCAGCATCGTACTTGTTAAACCCTGTAATCACATATGGTCCAAACTGTCCTAGCAAGTCAAAATTAATGATGGCTTTGATTGATGTGGTGGAGTCTTATTCAGATGAAGATGTTGATGGCTTTCTGGTAATGAAACAAACAACTACTTATCGTGAAGGCAAAGAATCTTTCAGTAGACCCTCATATCAAAAAGCTGCACAAAAATTAGACCATTGTAAGTGTTAATATTTTATAGTACATTCATGGTTATTCACTAATTCTTTATAATATTGTATGCTAAATGTATTTTATTATGCAGATGAGTGGTGGACATATTATGGTTGTTCAGTTCCAGAATTGCAGCGCGTTGCAATGCATATTCTTAGTCAAACTTCTGCTTCTTCTGGTTATGAGAGGAATTGGAGCTTGCTTGAGAGAATTCATACAAAAAGAAGGAACAGATTGGAACACAACAGGCTGAATGATTTGGTTTTCACAAACTATAACCTGCAATTGAAGCATAGGTACTCTTAGAAATAGTAAATGCTTTTAATCTTTTATTTTAATTGATTTATATTTAATTGAATTTTTATTTGTCATTAAAGGAATACATTGAAGAAGAAGAAAAGTTATGATCCGATTGACTATGAAAACATTGACATGATGGACTTTTGGGTGACTGAAGAAGATCCCACCCCTGAGTTTGATGATAGAGATGTGGCTACGCTTGAAAGTGTCCTTAACAATAAAGGCACTGCAAATTCAACAACTTTTGAGAGGGATAATGAAGGTTTTTATATATAATTAAGATTCTATTAGTATTCTTAGATGAATATATAATTATTTGCATAATCATTAATATTGATTATTGTCTTATATAGGTGATGAAGATATGGATATTGATGAGCCTCCACCTTTGCACGATGATACTCACCCAACTGATGATATCTCAGTCCATGCTCTTACCAATGATCTTAATGATGATTTTGATTTTGCATAGTGATGAAGATGTGAATTTTATTAATATTTGCTTGGTACAATTAAACATTTAAACTACTTTTGTAACTTTCTATCTTTTTTTGAGTGATTATTATTTATGAATTTGGTTCTATTTTAATATTGTGAATTAAATTATATTATTTTAATATGACCGGTCTGACTCCGGTCCGACCTCCGGTTCGACCAGTGACCCTTGACCTACTACCTCGATTGGTTTAGCTCCCGGTCCGGTTTTTTGTTCCTTGGTCTTACTTTCAACGGTAACCTTACTTTTAGCAACGACTTTTCAGAGTTACCACTAGAGGACCATTTTTGAAAGTCAGGTTTTTAGCGGCGACTAATCATGTTGCCACTAAAAGGACCTTTAAACGGCAACCTAATATTGCCATTGAAAAGGGCTTTTAGCAGCTATCATTATTGTCGTCACTGAAAGAAGCTTTCAGCAGCGACTTAACATGAAGTGACGGCTGGCTGGTAGTGACATGATAGTAGTCCACAATTGACCGGCAATGATGTGGTAATGGCAGATGGTGGTCCTATTTCTCTCTAGCTACACTTTCAGAGTCACTAGTGACTTTTTAGAGTCGCCATTGAAGGTCAATTTTTAAAAATGAGACTTTCAACAGTAACTCCTAATATCACTGCTAAAATTTTACTTTCAACGGCGACCTAATGTTGTCACTGGAAAGGGCTTTTAGTGGCTACCATTATTGTTGCTGTTAAAAGCTTCTTTCAAGGATGACTGAAAATGACATGGCAATGGGCCGGTAGTGACATGGTAGTGGTCAAGGCTAACCGGTAATGATGTGGTGGTAGCCGATGGTAGTCCTATTTTTCTCTGATGATACTTTCAACAGCAACCTTTTGTCATTGCTGAAAGGGTCTTCAGTGGTGACTTCTTTGTTGCTGTTGAAAAGTCTTTCAGCGGCGACTTTTGTGTTGCCATTGAAAAGTTGACACTGAAACTATACTTTCAATAGTGACTCATTTTGTTGCCACTGATAATAACAATAATTGCTACAGCAATAATTTGGCGACAACTTTGTGTTACCACTGAAAACTTTTAATGGCGATTTTTTTACTTTTAGCAGCAACATTTATCGTTGCTGAAAATCAAGTTTTTTTTTTTTTGTAGTGATAGCTAGTTCCATTAAATCAATACCTATTGGTTGTGAGTATTTTTATACTTATATGCTAGACAAGATCTTGGATGTTGAATATGGTAACCATATTAATTTCTTTCTCTAATTTGGTACATGGCATGGAGAACAAGATGATGATACATGGTCAAAACGTACTGTTGAGGCCGACTAAGCCTGATGTAGATGTTATATATTCTTATGTCCTGTTGGTAATTTGTCATGTGAAAACGACTTGGGTGGCTTTATTGTTTTAATAGTTAGTATGTGTCCGAATTAAACAGAATGTATCTCTCACAACTTAATAAATGAATATTAAAATCTCAGAAAAGTGTCCACATTTAGTATCAAAATATGCTAAGCAAAATAATTTAGTATGTTTTGTCTAAATACATATAATCAATTGATCATATTTCTGTTATATGTATTATTGAGATATATGACAGTTTAGATAACCTCTGTGTCATGAAGATGATAACTTAGCTGCATAATACTAGCTTAATTAGATGATAGAGAATGAGGTGAGGCATGGATAAATATATAGAATTAAAACCTTCTAATTCTAAATATAAAAACTAAATAACTAACTTATATATACTAAAAAAACTTATTTAAGTAAGTTGTTTATAAAAAAATGTATTAGTTTTTCTAAAATACTTCTTTTAAACATTTGCATTAGAAATTATTCATTCATGAAAAAAAAACTCTTTAATATATGTAATCAGTCTAAAAAGCATAGGAAAAAGTTATAATTTTAAGAGATAAAATAGATTAAAATATTATATATGCAATCAAAATAATTCCTTTACTTTCAAAAAAAAATTCCTTTACACATGAACTGGTTCATTTAAAATAAGAAGGAATACTAAGTGTGTCTGGTTAGAGGGGAGAGTGGGGGGAGGAGGAAAAATGAGCCACTCCCATCATTTGGTTAGAAATTTTGGAGGGAAAGGCAGCCAAAATCTTCCCCCTCCTTCCCTCCCCCTCCCCCCTCATTTTGGCTTCCCCCAAATTGGGGTTTTTTGGAGAGGAGCCAAATATGTTGACTAGTTTGTCCTTATAGTTTATGTAATATTCCAATAATGTTCTTAGATTAAAAAAAAGAAAATTAAATCCACCCATTCCCTTTCATACCCATCCACTATTGGCCTGTCACAACCCTCACCCACAGCTCCCTCCATCTACGTTTTGCTCAGATGTTCGGTTATTTTCAGATGTTCAATTAAAAAACTACAATTGATCTGAAAAGATTTCCAAACGCCTTGATAAAAGTTTAAAGAAAATGTTAATTTTTTTAGGTTAATTTATTTAACTAAATACCTTCATCGTCAATTTTTTTCGGAAACGTGACGATGCTCAACAGTTTATGAAATTTGTTGGTCCTGGTCATGTGTGGGCAATGAATCTGCTTCTTTTTAATAAATATACATTAGCATGGGAAGAGAAGCCATATCTGATTTGTTTTGTAAGGTAGACGAGAACGAAATGAAAACAGTGGAGGCTTTAGAAATTTAAAAATATTAATATATCAATTTTTTATACACATCTTCACAATATTAATACATCACTATACCAATATTTTAATACCCATATTATTGACACGACAGAGAAAATTTACATTGAATTATGTAATTTGAATTAAGATGTAAATTAATTTATATAAATAAAAATATAAATTAATATGTAAAGATAAAATGATAAATTAATTATTACTATTCCTCTCTTCCCTCTTTTAAACCAAACAAGGGATTATTAAACATCTTTCTCTTCCCTTCTTTCTAGTCAAACCAAACAAGATAAGGTTAAAACCTCTCCTGCCCTCCCCTACTCCACCTTTTCCTCCCTCTCCTGCCCTTCCTTCAAACCAAACAAGTCCTAAAAGAATAACTTGGAGAGGGTGTAAAGTATAAATTTAACGCATACTAATTTTCAATATTATCAATGATGATGAATCCCCGGACATGGCCAGCCGGCTCCAACTTCCACCGCCGGCGGTGGAAGTGGAGCAGTTATTGTAGGCGGATGGAGACAGTCGGCCAAACTCACTTTTTTTTTTTTTGGGGTGTAACCAAACTCATGAAAATTGATTTGATGAAAAGACAGCAAATCTAGGAACAATCTTATTAATTATCTTCTTAAAGCAACTTTTCTTTTTTAGTATTCCCTTTTGCATAACAAAGTAAACCAGTAGATTACCACAGTCATGCACAGTGACAGTCGGCAAAACCCTAAATCACCTCCACAATCTAAAAGTGGGCATAAAGTTAAAATAACAATAATCATAATACAGATAATTAATAAAAGTGATAAACAACTTAGCTTGAACTTTTAATCACTCCCTCATCTCATCAGGTCATCCATTAATCCCAAACAATAATTAATGTTTTACATTTTGAGTTAATTAGCTTTCTAATGGTGTAACTGCTCTATCCCGCATCAAATTCTACATATTTTAAATCCAATCAAGCCCTAACTAGACGGAACCTTTTGAGCTCTTTTCTTAATCAACAAATTAAAGCTCCAAAACTCAATACTTCATTACTTAAAAGATATTTAGGTCCTTAATTATTAATTAGCCCAATAACCATTTGTTGCTTTGACGAGTTTTATTTATGTTAACTCTATATTAATTTTGGTTTTTTTTTAATCAATCAAATCTAAAAGTAGAAATATATAGGGTGGCCTTTACAGTAGTTGTCAATTTCGTAAGAGGATAATATAATTAGTTAAATGAGCACAAATTAGTGATATAATATTAAAATAAATTATGATGAGCGAAGCACTAGGCAGGTTTCGCCGAAGCAAATGAGCCAGTAAAACTAAGCTTTTAGGCATTGACTTGACGTCCCATTTTCCAAAAAGGTAAAGACTTTTTTAATCATTACTGGGAGACTCACTGTTATGAACAGTAAACTCTATCATCATCATCATCAAAGTCACGAAACAATATAAAGTAAATTACTAGTATGAAATTAAATTTAAAAAATAATCATTTGCAAAAAAAAAATTATTATAATTAAAATAATTTATGTTATTATTATTCATATATTGATTATTTTCGATCTACAATTTTTTTGCATTTCATACTAAATAATTTCGGTTGTTCAAATTAATTTTAAAATATTTTTTTTTAAAAAAATCACTAGAACTATAAAAGAATCATGAAATGTAAAGTGTTTGAATCTCATCTAAATTCAATGCACTTGGGTACTCGTCGACACGAACAGTAGAGTATTAATGAAGTCATGAAAGTAAATTACAAAGGGATATCTATTATCCTTAATTGAGCAAGAAAACTAGTGACGTGCTAATTTTGCCAACCTGTTGTGTTTTCTAAAAATTAAGAAAAATGTTTCAGATGTCCTACCTCCATTATTATATGCTTTTGTGGATATG